AAGAAAACAAATTTCCTTATAAAACAAACTATTTGGTGGAACATTAATGGCAGTAATAGATGGTGTATGTGGATGTAATTTAAGTACTATTTGACCATGAAGAAGATTAAAAATATGTAATGTACCATCAGAAATAATCTATCCAAAAAAAAATAATAATAAAATATCTCCACAGTATCTTAATGAAATGATTTAGTTTCTTTTGTGCCTGATGACAGAAAATAGTTGCAAGTTTTTATTCAAAAATGATCTATTTATTGAACATAATTGAAATCTAGAACTATCTACTTCAATCGAAAAGTTTTTTCTGCTGACCGTTACGGTACAAATGTTTTCCTATGTTCATCAAGAAATGAAGAAAAAGTCAAATTGTTCCGGAACTTCAGAGCAATGTGATGTTTGTTTTTTTATTAATATTTTGAGCTTAGCACCATTATAATGTGATGAATACCGAGAAAAGTTAACTATGGTAGTCGCACAGATTTCTCAGAAATTTGCTATGTAAGAAAATGCAAGAGAATTCTGTGACGCATTGAAGAAGCCAGATGACTTACGAGGGAGTTACCTCAACTGACACTTGCCGTTTGAACCTAGATTGGATTCACAGGCAGGTTTCAATGAAATTATCAAAAGTCTGAAATGGTTTATTCTCATGGGCTTTTGTCGTTGAATTATGATCGTTTCACTGGATTTTCGAGTCATTTGTAGGTAGTTCTCGAAAAACCAAATCACGAAGTTTTGATCTAAAATATTGTCTATAGGTAGATCTAATAATTCTTAGAATATCCTGAAAGTTTCAGCCGAAAAGAATGTTCCTTCGTCAAGATATTGGCTTTTCAGAAGATGCCTAAATGGGTCGAGCATCTAATACATTTATCATAACTTACGACCAAAGGCCTATGAAAACGAACTGCTCAAAACATTTGCTAGACTTACTGAGGTCTACCTGTAGGTACAATATGAGTTCAAACGGCGGGCATCATTTGTGGTAGTTTCCTTATTAGTAGTGCGCAGTTATCGTTACCAGGTAACAGGGTAATGGAAAATTTATGGATTTGATTCTTTCGGCAAAGAATGACTGTTAAAGGAAAATCCCGATCTCTTATAACATTTTATAGAAAACTTTCTATATCGAGGAAAATTTATAAGAGATCTTGATTTTCATTCAACAACTATTTCTTGACAAAAGAATCAAATTCACGACTTTTTCGTCACCGTTATTTCATAATGTAACAGTAACTTCCCTTCCATGTATAAACTCGCAAAAAGTCAAAAATTACTAATAAATTAGTTTTAAAATTGAGGAAAATTAAAGAACATGACAATTTGAATTACAGAAGCCCAAAAATCTGTCGTTTATCTTTTCCAGAAAGTGTCAAATTTTCTCTTTTCACTAAATAATATAAGTTTTAATCAATATTATTAAACTTTTTGATCATGAATAAAAACTTGCAATTCTTCTCTACCATACGGTCGAAATACAGTAAAGAGTTTTTATTCTGTCCTAGATTACTTCTAAAATATTCGGTCTATAACAAATTAACTTACTAATCCATTAGTATCAAAACGAAGAATTTCATTTCGATCTTCTAATTGATAAATTGTTATTGTATCATCAACACTACTGGTAACTATATGGGTATCTTCAATAGGTATGACACCCATTATACGATCTGTATGTGAAACAACAAGACGAATTTTTGTTCGTTGTGTTGTCCAACAAATATACCATAATGATCTACATGATGTACCAACAATATCTATACTAAATGTATTATCAAATGATCCACTAATAATTTCATCATCAAGTTGAAATTCATCTTGTAGTGTTAAGCTATAATTTCTATGAAAACAAAATTTTTTTTTGTCTTGTCAAATTATTTTTTGAGATAATGCTTCCGAATCATTAGTATTTGTTTGTCCTAAGTTAACTTCAAGATTTTCAATATTCCATAATCTTAAACGACCAATCGATAAACCAGTTAATAATTTATATTTACTTGTTGTCATATAACATATTTCATTTGAATCAGCTTTCCAATGAAGAAGACATAAATTTCTACGCGTATTCCAACATGTGACAAAACTAGAATTAGTTGAACAAAGAACAAGATGAGAATTTGATATTAAATAAACACATAAAGTTATTTCACATGAATTTTTTGTATGTTCACTAATTGATAATGGGATTTGTCCATTAACAACTTATAATTGTATATTTGTATAATTTGTTTGCTCAATAATTGTACAAAAACGAATACAATCATTTGAACAATCAAGACAAAATTCATTTGTACGCATCGGATTCCAAGCAAGACAATTCATATAAATTGATGAAGATTCATCTTGCTAATTAAGTAAATTCGTATAATCATGTGTCGACCATAACGAAAGCAATGGTTTTCGATAATCACCCATAGTAATGAGAAAACGATCGTCTCTATAAAATAATAATGACAAAAGTTATCTATGATATACTTTAACAATGAAACTCATTGAACTGATCACCTCAATATCTATAGATTTTTATTGTTTTGAAATGCGATTCAAAGAGTGGCTATCAGAACTTTTGTTTTTGGACTTATTAAATCTTTAAAGTTTCGGGATATTTTTTTTCAATAGCATGTACCATGGAAGTATGATGTCTTCAAAATATTATTGTATAACATATGCTGTCATACAAACTTCTTGAGGCCACTCTGTCTCAAAAACTGATCTCAGCTCAGGTACGTTCAAATAGCATGAAATTTTCAGAATATGTTGGAAGTGTAGTAGAGTAGCTATGATAAAATTTTTAGCCTCAGATCATGACGTTTGAGCGAGACAATCATCAAATAAGGGTTAAAAATAGCTTATTTTGTGTCCAAAATTTCTTGGTGAAGGTTCGTGCTATATGTTTAATTTTGTGAAACACGATTTAAAAGAAGTGTTGAAGTATATAGAGTGGAATTTTGCATTCCTTCCCCCCCCCCTCCCCTCCTCCCCACAGATCGTGACAGACAGGCTCCAGAGACTATCACAGATCGTGACACACGTTTCCAATCCATGATTAGCAACCATATTCAATAACATCTCACTAGAATAGATAAACTTCTTCGTTATTGTAGTCCTACAGGATTAAATAAAAATGACGAAAAAATGAACTCGAAGACAGATCGAATAAAACAATGTTCCGGTGATTAGTAACAACAGCTACATCGTGTTTCATATTTTAATCCCGTAGGGATTGAGCTAACAACTTTTTTTGAAGCTATTTTAATTAAATTGAATAATATCAATTAAAATATTAAACGATGACTCACACCCCAAATAAATGTAGTATAGTAAAGTGTAAACAAAAAGACGTGTCAGATCAAAGAGAAAAAAGAGGATATAGACAAAAATATTAGAATACATTCATAGGAAGGGAGCAGAAATATGTCAAAATCTCTTTGAATACGCTCAAAAATGGAAGCAACCGATAAATGTGAAAAAACACAGTTGTTCAACTGTTTTATACACAAGTTGTTCAACCTAACATACAAATATATATGGATGGAAAGCAACTTGAATGTGTGAAAAGATTCAAATATTTAGGATTCGAATGGACAAGCAAACTTTCTCTCGAATGACAACTGAAGTATTGAGACTATATTTCTTCGCATATAGTTTTCCCTTTCTTTGCCCTGTTACCTTCTGTCCAACAAACGGCATCACAACGCAAGTTTAGAGTAGACTTAAGAATAGTACACATAGAAGTCCATTTATTCCAGTTCATGAAATTCCATCAGCATTAAAAGAACATTCATTAGAATCATATGTTACAACCTATTTACATAAGTGTTTGAATCGTGTATTCAGTGCAGATTTAGAGGTTTCTTTTTTCTATAACGATTCATTTTAACTGAGCTTTTCTCATAAGCAAAGGTAAACAACAACAATTAGATATATGCCAACAAAGTTTGAATATAGAACATTTCTTCAGATTAGCAAGTATGAGAAAAATGGTGGAAAGGCACGAGTCACTCTTAATTCAATGGATCCAGTTTATAAAGAACCACTCAGAGAAAGATGAAACCTGATTCCCTTCCTTTCTTTTACCTTTGTTCCCTATTTTTCTCTTTTTTTTTGTTTTTCTTTTACATTGTTGTTTATTGTGCATCCTCTGCATTCTTTCTACCTGTTCCTTTGTTACCATGTAATCTTTGAGGTATCCATTTGTGTCGTGTTTCTTTCTCCTTAATGTTTGTTATATCCTTGTCTCCTCGTATCACGTTATCCCATTATAAGCGTCTACAGACGTAATAAATCAGGCATACTCAAAAAAAAAACTAGAATAAAGACAAGCATACACATACACACAACAAAATGACGAGAAAAAAAATAAACAATGATGAATGTTATTAGAGTACTCTCTAATACATACAATACAATGTTACTAAAAGTAATTCTTTCTTCTTCTTTTTTTTTGGTCTCTTTTTGTCAGATACATTTATTGGTATATTAGAAATAAAAATAAAATAAGTAAAATGAAAATAAAATAAGTAAAATAAAAATAAAATAAGTAAAATAAAAAGAAAAGAATAATATTGGATAAATTTTTAATTTTAATGATGATCTATAACTATAGGTACCTAATCTATCGATGTGCACAAACACTCGTTTGGGGAAATTTTCAAAAAAATATTATGTTTGGAGAAAGTTTTTTGTAAATTATTGTTTAGGAATGTTTGCTTGAAGCTGCGAAGTCTATGGAAATTCGTCGAGTTATTTTTTCGTCCAGGGAAAATATCCATCTTTATGGCCGTTGCTGCACCTATCTGGAAAGCATAGTTTTTCACCAAATATATTTTGTTCAAATTTTGTTAGATCAATACATAAGCTATTTTTAATATAATTATCAAGTTCAGTTAAATATTTTTTTGCTAGGGTTGTTGTTCGACTGAATACTTCTACTACTTCTTCTATACATGGATCATATCGTGTAGCACCTTTTGTTACACATATATATGTTAATGCATAATGAGTATAATCGGTTTTTAATATAAAATAAGGCCAATTAACTTTTGTATTCTTATTGATATCGTCTGTTTCAACAATCATTTTTGCACCATCATATGCAAAAATTGACGATGGACCAAATGAAAAACATTCTTTTCCATTAGGTAATCGTGCTCTACCGAAAGCAAGAACATGTCAATTAATACAATTGTCTAATGCAAAAAATTGAGAATAATCAGTCCATGAGTCAGATGGATTATGATTTTTTTCAGTTGTGTACCATTTTATTTGGTGCCATTGACCAAGAAACTTTTCCAGACGAAAATCTCGTTGAGCAGCTATTTGTGATAATGATGGTCTTTTACATCCTATTGAATTATTAATTAATAAAAACAATCCTATCATCAAAAACCAATACATGTTAATGTGTTGTCTTGTTTTGATTAAAGATATAAAATAAACATAGAGAAGTATACCTATGCATGTTGCTTATATATAAAACGAACTACTGATATAATTTGGTCAAATATAAAATGGACAAATCAGAAGTAGGTGAACAAAGTGATTTGATGTATATCACCCTTGTTTTTCGATGTAATTTTAGAAAACAGTAGTATTCTTTGGTAGGAAAAAAACACAGAACAATAGCTGTTGGACGTTTTTTTTGATTGGATAATCTGATATCTAACTAATACTTCATAATAAGATCAGCCTTCAACTTTTCATTATACTCTGTTTTAATTTCAAGACATTAGTTGATTGATGAACTTTGATGTATATTGTAATCAAGGCTTCTGAATATGAATTAGTGTTAGACATGGGCCAAATTTTTGTGATTTGGTCTGATCCGAGTCGCACTCTGTTGCCAATTGCTCTTGTCTTGCTCTTGAGAAGATCAATTTCTTGATCCTTTTTTCTTCCCTATATTTCGTAGTTGGAACTACACAAATTATGTCATTGAATTTTTTCTTGTTTGCCTTTCTTTTTCTTATGCATAAAAATTTCCATCTTTATATCAGCATAGTAGAGACAGTGCACACGCTATGCATTATTGTCCAATATCAACAAAGAAAAGTCAATGAAGTAGAAGAAAAGAACGTGCAACACATAATTTTTTGTTCTACTAAGCTTCTGCAAACTCTCTTATAGAACTTCTAAATGAAAAAAAAACATTCAAAGTGTCTTCTGTATATGCAAAACGTTTAGATTGCACAACCACTCCAAAGTCCAAAAATTTTTTATTGTTATTCAACCCGACCCAACGACAATTTTTGTTTTTTTGATCTAACCTCTGTAGCGTACTGACATTAATGTTTATTATTAAGGGGTTAAAATTATCAACGTACTATACATTTGACGTTGTCATGAAGAATAAGTCAAATGATTTTTATATCCTATGATATAGTTTTTTCGAACCTAACATTCAATACGATATAAATATTACAAACAAAATATATTTGAATATCAAAAAAAAAATCAAGCATTTTATAAACAATTTCGTTATGATAACAATATTTTAGACATATTTTTTCTCTGATATTTACGAACTTAGTTAACATGATTATCGATTGTTAATCTAATGTAGATTCATAATTAAATAAGAAGTATAATGGTTTTTGAAGCTTGTTCAACTCGATCATTTCTTTATATCATTTTTATTCTCTTACCAGTTATACTTTATATTTTCTATATCTAATTCGAAAGAAAAATATCAATTTTTTGACCTTTCCTATAAAATTAATCGTATTATAAATAAATATTAGCATACAAAAGAAAATATCAAAATAGATCATCATCTAGATTATTCTGCATATTTTTTTCCAGCACCGAAGATGATTGATTAAGAATAAAGAAAACTATCAAATAGCTTTCATTTTTATCGATGAATAAAAAAGAATTTCTTTTTTCAAAAGAACGTATCAATTGTTGACCTTCTTTTCTGTGTGTTCAAGATTTTTCAAAAAAAAACCATTACCTATAACAAAACTATTCAATGAAAAAGAAACCAGAATGAACAACTTGTTAAAAGAAAAAAGAAACCAACGAACAAATACTGCGCGAATGACACAAGTTTAATATCTATCCAGACTGTATGTAAATGTGACCTGCAATATATAACACAAGATAGAATGAACTTCTTTTTGTTTATTATTAGCATTGTTTAGCCCTATGACCATGTCGGTTCTAAAGGAACAATTGAACTTTCAGATCATAGATACCCATAATGAACTACATTAAAATATAATAAAAGGAAAAAAGTAAAGTAAAACAAAGAAATAACATAAAGAAAAAATTGAAGCGTGAAACAACAAATACGATATGAAGTAAGAAAAAGAAAAATACAATAACTGTGGAGATACGATGTTTTACAGAGATGAGTAATACCTATATATATATATTTTTTCTTTTCTTTTCTCTCGTTCTTATCTCTTCTGGATTCGAACCACAATCCTTAATCCACGTTAGATTTTTCTTCTTTTCTCTGAGCCTCTTCTCTCTCTATATATTATTTTTCTCTTCTTTTTTTTGTCAACGTGATCTAGAATCGATTGTCTAAAAACTTTCTGGAAATCAAGCAAAGCATAAAAACTCTTCTTCGTTACATATCCAGGGTAAATTCATCCTATCGGATCTGAAGTTATCCGACAGTTTCCGATAGTCGGAATTCGATCGGATTTCGACAATAGGAGCTTGTCGAATCCGAAGAAATCCGATGGTATGAAAGTATATATAGATACTTTATTTCATTTATTTTATTTTTATTTTCTTGTATTTTAATTATTTTATTTTCAGTTTATTTTTATTCTATATTTATTTTGCTTATTTTATTTTCATTTGATTGTATTTTTTTTCAATCATTTATTTATCTTATTATAGATTTATTTTATTTTACTGTATTTTTATTGAATTATTTATTTTATTGTATTTAAGTTAATTTATTGTGTTTTATTTTATTTTACCGTTATTTTAAATTTATCATTCAATAATTGAATTTAATAAAAAGTTAATATAAAATGGATTTAAATTGTTAATTTACTGCTAGTTGCATGATCGGAAGAAAACAGGGAGAAGAGGGAGATGAAACAAGATCTAATGTTCAGATGTTAATTCTACAGGATTCTGTTGAATTCTTAGTGTTCCTCTATGTCATGGGCACGGGTAGGCTTCAAAACAATCAAATTTCTTAGGTGTGAAGATTTAGTCACTCTTTTTATTTCATTTTAACTGGTATATATCCTAGAAAAAACTTAAGTAGCCTTTCTTTTCTTACTTGTTCCTTCTTTGAGAAAATCAAATTTTTCGATGACAGTGGCAAAACTCATTTCAAATGCGCTCGTGTTTGGAGACTTTCATTATCAAAACTTCAAATTCCAGCAAGTTAACTATCATATTCGGAATTAGCATAAAAGATCGAACCGAAATGCATAGACTTTTATACGAAATATTTTTCATCGAAATTCAATCCCTACTTCCCCTTGATATTTTTAAATTAATTTCAACGATGGTCCCCGTTAGTCGAAATTTCGATGAAAAATATTTCCTATAAAAGTCTATGCGTTTCGGTTCAAGTGTTGATGCTGTTTCCGAATATGATAGTTAATTTGCTGAAATTTGAAGTTTTGATGATGAAAGTCTCCAAACACGAGGGCATTTGAAATGGGTTTTGCTACTGTCATCGAAAATTTGATTTTCTCAAGAAAGGAACAAGTAAGAAAAGAAATGCTACTTAACTTTTTTCTAGAATATATACCAGTTATAATGAAATAAAAATAGTGACTAAATCTTCACATCTAAGAAACTTGATTGGTTTCGAAGCCTACCCGTGCCCATCACATAGAGGTCACTAGGATCAAAAAAAACTAGTAGCCACATTATATTTCAATTGTGTCAAAAATATATTTTTATAGACAATATCGTGTCGTAAATCGGAAAAAACATCAGTAGAAATCGAAAACAACGTAAAAAACGTCACATGTCGATTTACCGATTAAAAGCAGTAAAAACAGGTGTTTTGGGAAGTTTGATTGTCGAAATTGTTTTTGACAGAAATCGTTTTTAAAACAAAAGAACCGCTTTCTCTACGTAAGACGTTGTGCTCTATTCAACCATGCATAAATATCGCGAAAAAGAACTGCTGTAATTTTGAATTGCGAGCACTTTACTAATATGTTTATGTTTTGTACTCATTATTTTTTTTAATGATTGTTTGCTGGAAAATATTATGTTAATACTGTTATATGTAAACTATCAAGTAAACAGAAGATCGGCCTGAAATAGAGTTCTTGTGCTCAATTGCTTGAGCTCTCCATACACACTAACTAACTACACGAGCATTTTTATGTCACAACGTAGTCAGCATGCTATTGAATGGATAGTCCGAGACAAATACCCGTTAGTGACTTGTCCAGATTCATTTCAGGACTGCTGGTACTGAAGTTTGCCCACAGTATCTTATGAATACGTCTCGAACAATGTGGCCACTCAACCATGATTGTTCAAGTTACCTAAAGAAATGTGAATATAGCGCTATGGATTAAGAGTCCATATTCAAGCATTACTATCACAATGATAAGAATATTCGTTTAAACGATTTTTGATTGTTCACAAACAACAGTTTTATATTTTCAAGATCATTACAGAATATCGAACTTAAATAGATGAAAATAAATCAATTGAACTAAAAGTGCATACTATCTACTGCTTCTATTATTAAACGTTAGATCAAAATGCATGTCATATACAACAGATGAAGGAAGCAATTGTTATTAGCATACAACACTAATATGATTCTAATGGAATAGAGAATATAATTTAATATTCATAAGGCAAGTTTAGTGCTTTTTATTAATTGGCATATTTTAAAAATGAAATATGTATATATATATGCAATTGTTAATGATACAATATGAACTTGATGATGACTAAGAGAATGAATAATCCTTTTGTTTACATTTCTCATTTTCATTAGGCAGATAATGAAATTATTTATGCAACTTCCAAAGTCTGAATACGATCAGTTGAAATCGATACGGATTTTAATTTTTGATTAACATGAATTTATCAGATAAACAAGTAAAGACGTTCCTAAAATAAACTATCAGCTTCCTTCATATGAATCAAACATATTAACCACATAAACATTAAAATCTTCATTTTTTTAAATTTTTTATTCAAACAAATTTATTTAATAAAAATAAAGACTAAAAAAATTTATTTTAAAAATATTTTAATTTATAAAATGAAAACAATTTGAAATTCATCTTGAATTGTCATTGCATCGATTAAAGAATTTTCTATATAACCAAATACGATTTAAAATAATCACATAAAACTCTGATATAAGCTAAATGTTTAAAAATAAATAATAAACTTCTTAATTACCTATGAATTTTACTTCCATTTGAAATATAAATCATCAAAAAACTCAAATCAATCTGTAGTATATAACCTAAAAGAAAACAAAATTTATCTTTCTTCATACCTGATTTTCATTAAATTCATATTCCACTACCATCTCAATGATCCAATTTAAAATCAACCAACTTTAAATCTATTATATTCATAAATGCAACCCAAAAAACATTTTTTCTTTGTCATCATTATATAAATCATTGCTTATATGCTGAAAAAAAAAGAATAGCAAAACCTATATTAATCTTTATACGAGATACTATCATTAAAGTTTATAACAAAACAATAAAACCGAACCTTTCGCCTCGAAGTGTTCTTTTCTCTCATAGAACTTCGATTATTTCCTTAATCATACTCTTTGATTTAGTCAATATGATAAAATAATATTAAATATTTGTTTTAATTATTATTATCTTCTCATTTCAGAATATGCATTAATAATATACAATAAGTTATAACCCGAGAAAAAAAACTTTGCGAAACTTTTTTTCATTTATATTAAATTACCTATGCTCTGTCTCGCTTTTTTTATTTCTTCCACAGAAACTTTACAGACGACTTGTAAACTCTTGATCTCTGTATTAAATAGATACATCTGATATGCGATGGAAAATTACACTATATTGCTGACTTAGGACCAATCTAGAAAGGAAGAAAAGCCAAAAAGCAAACGCCTCTATCGATACAAGCTTTGTTGAAAATTTTAAATCAGCTTTTAACACTTAAGAAAAAAGATTGAAAAAAAAATCTCAATAAATATCGTTTTTATAGTTAAAAAATGATCAAGTAATCAGAACGATGAAATTTTTCAGTTTCATTCACAAAAAAATCAATATTTTGATATAAAAACAAAGAATAAATTTAATTTCCCAAATATATAATTGAAGAAAAAACCATACTTATTCTCTTTCATTCTTAAAAACAATAAAAGTAGAGAATGATGTTATTGTATGTTGAAGTAGCCAGAACTTTTATAGAGACATTTTCTATTTCAATTGTCCATATTTGCTCTGTAAAAAATATGTTCGTTACAAAAATTTACTAACTCGAAATCATTTCATTCAACATAAATAAAGAAAATTGCTTGTATTGGAATTTTTATATCACATGTTATTTTAAATTTAACATTGTAAGTGTATTATTGACT